CCAAGATGGCGGCCCGCCAGACGGTCTCTGTTGACAGATTCAGTGTGTGAAAACGTATCAGTATTTTTATTTTTGCCAGTTCACTACCGTTCCTCTCATTGATAAAGTTGTAGCTGAGTGTTTGCAACAGTAATTAGGATTTTTGGTGTTTGCTTCTTTTGACTGAGAACAGATCCAACTGTACATTCTATCTAATCCAAAGCCAGCAACCGCTGCTGAATGGACGTTCACTGCTGGAGCCTGTAGGATAGATTGTGGTATATTGTATATAGCTTTTCTCTGTGTCTTTCTCTCTTACTTCTGCTTACTAAACCCACATGCGCACACCACGTGATCTCTGAAGCTAACCAGACCTGTGACCCACAGCAGGCTAGCATCACAGTGCGTCTCCATTTATTTTTGTAGTTCAGGGGAGAGTGATTTTCTGCCATCTTGATCTTGAAATCATATGGTTTGAACCGCCATCTTGATTCCAAAATTAGCTAGCATCGGGCACATTCCGAACTGGATCTGCAAACACACACACACGCACGCACGCACGCACGCGCGCGCGCACGCGCTCTCTGGTTTGTTGTATGCTTTTGTATGATTCGATTTGGCTTTATTTCATTTTGCTTAGAATAGTTGATAGTGATTTACTTGCTAAAGTTGTTAATCATTGATCTATGCTTGGATTGAATAAATCCTGTTATAATTTTAAGAAGCCGTTGCCTGTGAATATTTGTGTATAAGATTAAGAGTTGGTTGCCACAGCCAGTGTATGGACTCACCCTTCTCTTTTTGCCATCTATAGGTGGACAAACCCTGTTTTAGACTGATCATATTTGGTTATTGGTTGTTACTGGTTGTTACTTCCTTACGCTACTGAATGTAACTGAACTGTATTTGTACAAAAAGCACAACAGAAATTCACACCTCACAAATTATTATTGAAAGAATATTTTATATGTCTGAAAAAAATTCTGGATTGGATCTTTAAGCCACAATAGTGGCAATGCATACAACAAAGAGATCCTCACAACAGCAGACGTATTAAGTAGTAGTACTAATAAGTAAATACAAAGCAGAATAATGAGGTCAAACTTTTAACAACTTAAAACAAAGATTTTAAGTATTATAGCCATAAATACTGTCTTCTGCATCATCTTATGCTTTTAGTTTTTATATTTGATATACATATATATTAATTCATGACAAAACAAACTTCAAATTTTTTGTACAAATATGATTGTGAGAAGGATATCAATTACAGTCAAGCATAAACACATATAATTGTTCGTATGGTATTAGTTTAAGCAGACTATGTTTGTCTGTCCCCGCGACCCTGTACGCAGGATAAGCGGTTGACGATGGATGGATGGATGGATGTTTGTCTGTTGTTGTGACTTAGATGAAGATCAGATCACAATTTATGCAGATATCCCTGTAATTTCAAAGAGACCACATACTTTTTCCTGCGACATTATATAAATATAAAGAATAACTGACTTGTTTCTGTTTTAGCAGCAGATCCAAACACATTAAGTAATGAAAAACAAATAGAAGAAACATGAGCAAAAAATAATACAGTTGTAGAAGGGTATCAATTAAAGCCGCCCTCTAGCCAGTTTTAACTGCCAATATTGTTTAAAGTTCTTTCTCAAACAGATAATGGGGGTGTGGTTAATAATCGGATGTAATACATTACCATGACAACCAAAAACTTTGTCATGTGTCCTCCAACACCGCATGACTTATGACATACGTCACAACCCCGTTTTAACAACTTTTGCAACTCAAAATTAAGCTATTTGTCAAAAAATATTTGGTGAACTGTGTGGGTAATCAACATTGTAAGGAAATGACTATGAAATATCATATAAATGTCAAAATACACTGGAGGTGGGCTTTAAAATCAAGCTGTTGAAAGTACATTTATGAACTAGTCACTCAAGGCAAAGACTCAGACATGTCATGAATATAACAAATGCAAATACTTACTAGGGCCTTTTGTTGTGGAACGCAGAGTCAGAGATGTTTTGTGAAGATGGTGTTTGTTTACATGGAAAGAAGAATATGTTGAATTGATCATTTGTTCTTGAAAATCAGACAGACAAACTTCAGTTGCATCATATATCTTAACAGAAAATAAAATTAAACAGATTTTTGATTTATACAAAAAAAGAAAATAAGATCAAAGCTGCAGGCAGCATTGGACGGGTGTAGGGGACGTAGGATGGGAGCTGCGGCACTGTTTCATTGCGTGTTTTGAACTGGTCACAAAAAAGAGTTAAACATCACTTACTGTGTGCTGTAGGCGGCGCTACAGACTGCCCACTAATTATATGTTGTGTATCTACACATGAAGTGTGGACCACACTCTGAAAATGCCTGTAGATCACGTGATTTTTGTCACAAAGGGCTTACCTCTGGTTGCCAGTGGTGCTATGACACTGAGTGAATATTTGTTTTTATATTATTTATTTATAGATGTGTTTAGGGCACTAGTCTTATCAAACATGTAAAGTTTGGTACAGAACTGAGCATGTAAACTGAAGTTATAAAAAAGTTCTCGCGTTATAGCGAATCTTCAAAATTCGACGCCACACCACAGACACCATTCAGTGAAAACTCACAGGCCTGTTTATGCGCACACACATGTACACAGACACACACAGTCTCACACATAGACACAAACAAATTTAGGTTGTCCCTGGTAGAATTATTCCTGATGCTTTTCTTTCAGTTACTTATTTAAATTAATTATTATTCCAGCTCTCATGGCTGTGCTGTGTTTCTTATTTAGTTGTCATACTATGTCAGCTGTTTATTGCTGCTGTTCGGCTGGTTGTCTTTTACTATTAATATTATTTTTATTGTTTGTTTTTGTTTGTTTGTTGTTGTTTTTCTCCTCCCCAAGCCCCCCTCTCTGTTCTATTGCAGGTTTCGTTGCTTTCTGCAATTGGTGTTTCCCACAGCTTTTCCCTGTTGTCCCCACCTTCCATCCCCGTTTCCCCTTCTCTTACAGGTCTTGTCCTTTCTCTGTGCTGTCTGTTTGTGCCCCACCATCCCCGTGTCTGCCCCCCTGTCCGGCCCGGTGACAAATCAATATATAATTAAATAAATAATAAAACAGACAAAGGAGTATATTAATACTCTCTTGTTAAAGTAAAATCTGTCTGGCACAATATGGTATCCAGGTCATCATTCTCTATACCAGGCTGCTGGGCAGGACAGGTTTAAAAAACAACAAAAACAAAAAAACAACAAAAAAAACCCTAAAGGATATGAATATTTCTCCAACTTCTTTGACCACATTCCTATCTTTTTGGATATGTTGTGAAGAATGTTGGACATTTTCTTGATCTTTCAATTCAACAAAGAAAAAACAATCATATATTATGAGGGAGAAAGAAAATAAAAAAGAAATGCTATAAAAAAAAAAAGAGTGATAGAAACCGGTGCATGATCACTGATAGTGATAGGGTGAATCTGAGTGTAGTAAATGTCTTTCATAATTGAGCTGCTAACCAAAAAATAGTCAAGGCGAGTATATGAGTGGTGGACTGGTGAAAAGAAGGTATATTCTCTAAGAGTGGGGTGGTGAGAACGGCAAACATTGCAAAGACCAAAATCGCTCATGTATTGTTTAAGGATGTCTGTTGATTTCCAAATACGGTGACCACCTGCCGTACTGTGCCTGTAAACTGCTGGATTACATACCACGTTGAAGTCCCCTCCTAATATAAGAGCTGTGTCTGAGTGAGCAGAGAGTGAGTTGAAGAAAGCATGAAAAAAGGAGGGGTCGTCAACATTTGGGCCATAGATGTTAACAATGCATAAAGGAGTATTTTTGGTGTACTGATGGTGTCCGTTCATGAATGTGAACTCATACTAGGGCTGGGCAATAAAACAATAATTATAATTATCACAATATAATTTTCCTCAATAACAATATAACAAATCTTCAATAAATATTTGATTTAATTAATTTAGATCACATATCAATATCTTATTTTGTTGGTCAAAAGATTTTACTTCATTTTACTCATGTATATTTGTTGTTTTGAATGTTCTACCTCAGATTTGTGAAGGGATCCACTGTTTGATACCGGGCTGCTGTTTGGCATCAAGTGTTTCTTCTGACCATAAAGAAAAGCACAATAAGCCATCTGGTTTCTTCAACTTTCATTAAGAAGTAAAATCAGCCTTTAAACTTATAATAAAATAATGATTAACTAATGATTTGACATTTTTGGTGATAATAATCAATATCAAATGATATGGAATGTTTTTATCGTTAAACATTTTTAGCCATTTTGTCCAGCCCTAACTCATGCACTTTTGTGTTAAACTCAATACAAACTACTAAAATAAAAGAGTACACATTATAAAGAAAGATATCAAGAAAATTATGCCAGACCGAACTTAAGTTTTGCTTTCACTTTCTGGCCAAGCTGATACAGTACCACTAAAGAGAGAGGAAAACATGGATAATCCATGGAGACAAACAAATCATGGTGAAAAGACAAACTTTAGAAAGGTATTTTAACCTGTAGTTACAGGTATTTTTTTAGTCATGCACAAATAAGAGGAGGATGTGATGTAGACACAAGACTGGATCTTCCTCTAACCACTTTAAACTTGAACTTGTGTCTTCCAGCCACAACAGACAAAAATTTTATATGACACGCAGCCAGATGTCAATGTCTGCAGCGCAAACGTACCATAAATGTTATAATAATGGCAGGGTCTCACATTACCAAATACTAAAACAAATACACGCTAATTACATGTTTTACAGTAGGCATTAAAATTTTCCCACCAGCCTTAAATGCACAGTTTACAGACAGTTTAAGACCTTCATTTCCCTGATTTTATTTTTAGACCTTTTAAGGAGGCATGAGAACCCTGTAATTTATGTTCTAGCCTACAATGACCCCCCCCCCCCCCCCCCCGGCAGTGAAATCAAACTCTTTTATAGGATAAACATATCAGAAATTCACACATCTCACAAATTATTATTGAGAGAATATTTTATATGCCTTAAAACGTTTCTGCAATGGTAGCAATACATACAACAAAGACATCCTCATAGCAGTAGAAGTATTAAGTAGAGATATTAGTATATGTAAATACAATGCAATATAATCAAAATGTGAAGTCTAAATAACTTGAAAAATGTTTTTGTATTGCATATCCATTCTCTTTCATTTCGTCTCATCTTTTCTGATCACACGTCTCAACACTTTGAAGGAAAACTGTGGTGACAGGCCGTATCTTCTAAAGAGCTAGATTTAAAATAAAACCACACACACATAAAAAAGAAATGTTAATACTTAACAAAATAATTTGCAGATAAATTGAATTAAAAGTAAATACAAAGTAGTCATGGTAACAGCATGTAGTGGACTCACGTTCTCCAACACACTCTGCAAGTCCGAGTCTGACAGCTTAGGAGTCAATGATTCTAATTCCACGTTTGTGCCAAGAACATAATCTGTTGATGTAAACACACAATATGCATAAGCATTTCATAATCTTGTAGAGTGGTACACAGAGAACAACCTACTGCCCAAAGTCAGCAAAACTAAGGAGCTGATCATTGACTTTAAGAAGAAGGAGATAAAGAGACACACTCCTGTCTACATCAGTGGAGCTGAGGTGGAGCAGTTTCACCTTCCTGGGAATCAGCATCACAGAGAATCTGACATAGTCATCTCACATCTCCACGCTGGTGAAGAAAGCTCAGAAACAACTGTATTTGTTGAGGAAGCTTAAGAAGGCCAAATTCCCGTGCCAAGTTCTTTTCAGCTTATACAGAAGAGCAACAGATAGCATCCTAACTGGAAACATCACAAACTGGCATGGGATGTGCACGGCCCAGGACCGGAGGGCTCTGCAGCGGGTGAAAACTTATTTTATCCATTTATTTACCATTTTATAAGTGATTCTATATTAATGGGTTAGGGTTATGGGGTTAGGGTTTTATTGTGACAAATGCATACCTAACTATAAAATAATAAAATAAATAAAACAGGATAATGGATTGCATTAATATAGCTAAGTATTCAACATAATATGAAGAATCACATGACTTTCTTGTACCTGCTTCTTCTAACCTTTGTGCCTGTGACTGACTCTGTTTCCTTGTGCTCTGCTCTAGTGTTCCTGGAGACCCTGCTCTGCTCTTGTGCCACTACATTACAGAGAACGCCTAGTTGGAGATTCACCACTGGGGACTCGCTTCTTATTCAGCCAGCCTTTTCCCTGGCTTGCCTGCCCGTGCGCTTACCTGCCACCCCCTCACCACACCGGAGGCACCTTTCCCCCAGCATCTAGCCCATCTAACCAAATCTTATGTTCAATAAATTCTGTGAAAATCTTCCAAAATCTCGCCAAGAAAGGGAGCAGGACAGCAAGTTTAACAGTTAAAACATAAAACAATAGTATAAAATACAGATCAGAACATTTACCCTTTTAGCTACAAAAGCAACAGACGCAACCCACTATCTAACCCATACATTAAAAATTAAATCAGTAATTAAAATACATCAATGTAATGCCTGCTTATTCAAAAACAGTTATATTCGTCTTTAATGGTTAATGGTGCATAGCACGAGAAGGCAGTCTTTCCCAGCACTGAAGTCACACTGGGAACAGCCTGCTGGATGATGACTACTGACCACAAGCTGAAGATGCTATTAATGCAATGCGGTAATTTGCAGACGAGTGCCTTATAAATAAAAATACATAAATGGAGCTGTCTCTGCATAGCTAATGATGGCCATCCCACCGTAACATATAATCTACAGGGATGTGTGCGTGATTTAGCCAGTGTAATAAAATTCAACAATGCATGGTAATCAAGAATCAAGTTTCTTTAACAACAGTGAGGCCGCATGCATTTATACAGCAGGTCCCCGTAGTCAAGTACCGATAAAAAGGTAGACTGGACAAGTTTCATTTCCTTGCTTCATAGGGGAAACAACCTCTGTTTTGAAAATACAAGCCAAGTTTGAGCCTGAGTTTCTTTAAAAGCGTATCTATGTGTATATTAAAAGCTCATTTATCATCCAGTCAAATACCGAGATATTTGCAGCAAGTTACCCTTTCAATGACAGTGCCATTTAGTGTGTAATGGCTAAGGTTCTCCTGAGCGTGAGCTCTAGCAATGACATGAACTTGTTTTTTTGGGTATTTAAAAGTAATTTGAGGTTGTGCAATGAGAACTGCGATGTAGAGAATGCAACCTGAAGTTGACAGCCTGAGCCAGGGTAGGAGAACATGTGTTTACATAACTGTGCTATCTGCATAGAGATGCAACTTTGCTCAATGCAAATGTTTTCCAATATCATTTACGAAAATGGTCATTAAAACGGGAGCCAAGACTGAGCCCTGGGAGACACCTCAGGAGATCTCAAGGGGTTTAGACATGTGATTTTCAACATAGACACTCTGCAATCTATCAGTGACATAGTTTCTAAACCAATTCACAACCTCTTTACCAACACCCACATTAATAAGTCTGGATAACAGTAAGTCATGATTGACTGAGTCAAATGCCTTAGATAAGTCAACAAATAATGCAGCACAGTGCTGTTTTTCATCAAGAGAATTAATAATAGCATTGGCCACCAATATAGCTGCTGTTAGGGTACTGTGTCCTGTCCTAAAACCAGAGTGAAACTCACTTAAAATGTTAAAAACTGTTTCATCCGGACATTTACCAGAGATTCAAGGATATTTGCTAAAATACATAATTGTCCTAGTCCTGGAAAAAGAAAGAATCTACTGGTGTACTGAGCAACAGACGTCAAACAGGTCGGCCAAGGAAAACAACAGAAGTTGATGACAGAAATATCGTAGAGCTGTTAAGAAAATCCCCAAAACATCAGTAAATGACATCACCAACGACGTCTACAGTGCAGCGGTGAAGGTATCACAATCCACTGTTCTAAGAAGACTCAGAGAGCAGAAATATAGAGGCCACACCACAAGATGCAAACCACTCATCAGCAGGAAGAAGAAGGCCAGATTGAAATTTGCAAAGAAGTACAGAGATGAGCTGCAAAAGTTCTGGAACACAATCTTATGGACTGATGAGACCAAGATTAATCTCTACCAAAGCGATGGAAAGGCCAAAGTGTGGAGAAAGAAGGAAAGGGTTTATGATCCGAAGCATACAAGCTCATCAGTGAAGCATGGTGGAGATAATGTCATGGCTTGGATGTGCATGGCTGCTTCTGGAACAGGCTCAATAATATTTATTCATGATGTAACTGATAGTGGTAGCAGCAGAATGAATTCATCAGTGGACAGAAACATTTTGTCTGCCAATTTATGGAGAAATGCATTGAAACTAATTGTGAGGAAGTTTATCATGAAGCAGGACAATGACTCAAAGGATACTGCCAACAAAACAAAGGACTTCATCAGGGGAAAAAGTGGAAGGTTTTAGACTGGCCAAGTCAATCACCTGACTTTAACCCAATAGAGCTGCATTTCACCTCCTTAAGAGGAGACTGGAGGGAGAAATACCCCGAAACAAACAAGAACTGAAAGAAACTGCGGTAAAACCCTGGAATAGCATCACAAATGAAGAATGCAACAGTTTGGTGATGTCGATGGTTCGCAGGCTTGAGGCAGTTGACGGCGACAGCATCAGCCTCAGTGCCAGGGAGAAGGAGCAGGGAGCAACAGCTGATGCAGGTCGGATCCAAGGAGAAGCAGCAGCACTGCAGCCACAGAGCCGTCAGGAGAGCCTGGAAGAACAGTGACACAGCAGCAACACACACCAACAGCAGAGGCAGGCAAAACGATGAGCAACGCCACCGCGGCCACACACCAATAGCCAAGCCAGTTTGGATCCTAGGAGGAGCAGTAGCACTGCGGCCACAGATCCAACAGGAAAGCCTGGAGGAACGGTAGCACAGCGGCTACACACCGACAGCAGAGGTAGGTGAAATTACAAAGAGCAGCGCCACGGCAGTCACACACCAGCAACCGAGCCAGAGTGGATCCCAGGATGCAACAGGAGACCCTGCGGGAACGGCTGCATACACACCACCAAACAGCTGGGCGGAACAGAATGGAGACACCACGGCCACACAATATACTGATTCAGCAGAGGAGAGACTAAGAACACACAACCCACTGATTCAGCAGGTTCAACAAAGACTCAGGTTCAGATTTAACAAAGACATAGACAGAGATGGGACACGCTGCCTGCACAGTCCCTAGATACTAGGTAGCTTTTTTCCCAGTTGATCACAAACCCCAGGCTTTTGAAGTGCAAGATCAGCTGGGCTGTGTGAAAAATCGCCCAAGTCCTCATGATCTCTCCATGACAATGAGGTCGTCTAAGAAGAAAACGACCCTTGTGCCCTGCTCACACAATGGTTTTAGCATGGTGTCCATGCATCTGCTAGCACGGAAGTCCATTTCCTCCTGATGCCCAGGAAAAGTAGTGGTATGCGGCAGAACTGAAGAGAGTAGCCATGTTTCCATTGTAGTGGATCAGCTAGTGTCGTTTTAATTATATTATGCGATTATGAGATTCCAAAAATGTCTGTCTCTAAGCCTGACCCAAGTGTAAGGTTTGCTTTCCCTAAGTGCCGTTTTGGGCAGTTAGACTTACCACCTCTGGTGAAGCTGAGATAAGACTCGATGCCCTGAGTGTTAAAATGACAATATCAACATTAACCAGAAACTAACTTTCTCCTGAACAGCCTATCAGGAAGGAGGGCAGGAAACCCTAAACTGTCCCTCCACAAACGTAACCATGGCAACTGACCTTCCTCTTTGTGTAATTACCTCACATCAAAGGATATTCTCATCTTCACACCCAGATGTGAATTGGTGGGAAACTCCAGACGCCAGAGAAGGACACTGCCCCAAATTCCTTTGTGTGGACAAATGAATACTGTCTCCTTTTAACTTGCCTATTACCTTGTTTGATTAAATAATCTTTGTTAAGATACTTAGCGGGTCTCTCCACTTCCATTTGAGTAGTTATATTACTGTGTTGTTGCTATTTAAAAGAAGACTCCATATAAGTACATTTTGCAGTGCTCTTTGCAGCAATGATTCCTGACATTCGTTTAAGTGATGTTTTTAACCAATGCTTTATTCCCAACACTTCTTATATTCCCCCAGAAATGATATGATACAGAAATGGTATCCTGTGCTACTTGATTAATTTACTAGCTTGAATGTAATGTTAAATAACTAATTTCCCCAGGACCTGAGCAAGTGATTGTTTTAAAGAAATAATCAAAGTGATCTTCAGTTTCCTCTCGTGGAACAAGAGTCCCCCAAGAGGACAAACTAAGTATTACATGCTATCGTTCTGAAATACCGCCCCTGCTGTTTAATGTATCACTCTGTATTTTATTGGGTATAATCTGATGCCATGTTCGTGTAACTTGCTTATGTACTCTAAGTAAGAATGTGTAACAGCCAACATTACCCAGGAAATAGTTTAGTGGAAGTTTAGTGTCTTTCATCCTGAAAATGTGTTTAACTGGTAACCATTCTAATATTACAACAACTAAGTAATTGTTTCCTTTGCTTTTATAGAATGCTTGAAACCAAGAACGGTATAACCGTTTGACTGTTCCATTGTGGAGAGGTA